ACGATCAATACAGAGTTACGAATATTGGTCCTTTCTAGGATCAAGATTGACAGAGAATTCAATTTCTCGGAACGGTGAAATATTAGGAAATTCATATCAGAGAGGTGACATACTTTCGGTACGTTACTTCAGTTCAGATGTTTCTTTTCGCGTAGACTTCACACTTCTTCTATTTGAGATGTTTTCGTATATATATTTTCGAGATGAATTCGGTTGGTTTAGATATCAGATTTTCTTTCACCTCTATGAGTTTACCATCGTCGGTCTTTAGTTGAGGAATTCTTCATCACAAGTTGTTAACAGCAACGGCGTTCAGTCAGTCAATTCATACTAAGGATAATATCAATTTCCTTGTATGGTATTTCAACGTTGTTTTACAAGGAATTATCGCTTAACGAACGATTTTGATTTATGTGATATAACCACATATTTGTGTCGTAATGAATTAGAAATCAGAATCGAATACTTCAGATAACAAAGTTTATTAATTCTAAACGTTCGTGTTTGAATCAGCGATTAGATCGTCTTGATTCCACATGAGGATCTTTGACATCAGCTTCACAGATGTTTCTCAACATTTATTGTTTCTTCATAGTCGTCTCACTTTCGTACAATTTTGCGATGCAGATCAGTTTCGTCATTTGCGATGCGAAATGTACGTTGATAACGTATCAAGAGATTATAAACATATCGTTTATTCTTTCGTCTCTTCACCGAGTACAAAAGTTCAACTAGAGTCTACGCTCGATACGGTTTCAGTACTAATCAATTGTTATTTAATGAGAATTCTAATAGAGTCATTATTTACCAAGTAAATTCTCATACCTTTTTCCTGGAGCAGAGGGACGCGAGAGTCGTGGATGTGATTGACAATATTATTTTTTTTTTACCCAAAATATACAATATATATTTTTAAATCAAACATTGATCCGAAGATCGTGTTTAAAACCATTTGCTCCGATACCAAAATGTAACACCCTAATCTGTCCAGGTCTGCAGCCCCTTTCAGATTAAAGTATTAACTTGGTAATCGTAAAAATTTAAAACATTTCAAACACTTTTATTTATCACAATAATATTTTTCATAATATAAACAGTACGGAGTTTTCAATATCGCGGAAGCTTAACAATCATAATCACAAACATAATTTATTTATGTTCTCTAATTCAAAA